CAAGCACTCAATGCCTTGACAGCTTCAATCCACCCCCTAAATCGGACAAAGGCAAGGCCATTGCCCTTAGTTCCAGTAGCTCAGAATCCAACAGCGACGATGAGGAGTCGCAAGGACCTCAAATGGGAGCAATGGGTTTGTTAAACGCTATGCGGGGTCAAGTGGGGGAGAACATGAAGGCAAAGCCATAGAAAGCGGGGAGTAGTGAGCTGATGTACATGGATATTAAGCTCAATGGTCAAACAACCTGTGCAATGGTGGACACGGGCATTACCCACAACTTTATTGCCGATTGAGAAGCAAAGCGACTTGGGCTGATCTTGGAGAAGAACCCAAGTCGAATGAAGGCGGGGAACTCGGAGGCCAAGCGGATTTCCGGGTTGGCAAAGGGAGTTCTCATCAAGATCGGAACATAGAGTGGGAGCACCAACATGATGGCGGTGCCATTGGACGACTTCCAAGTGATTCTCGGAATAGAGTTTATGCATGCGGCGAAGTTGGTGCTAATGTCGTTCCTAAACTCCCTATGTATGATGGGAGGTGACGACCCCTGTGTGGTTCCCGTCTCTCAAAGAGGAACCAGAGAACCCCAACAGATGTCGACATTGCAACTGAAGAAAGGGGTACAAAAATGCGAATTGACATTCGTGGCTGCTGTGAAGCTAGAGCCACTTGACGAGAAGGCAATTTAGGAACCTGCTATGGTGGCTAACGTCCTAAAGGAGTTCACATATTGAGTTAAAGCCAGGACTGAAGCCTCAAACGAAACCACCATACCGCATGCCCCCTCTTGAGTTGGCAGAGCTCAGAAAGTAGTTACATGAACTGCTAAGCGGTGGTCTCATCCGCAGTTCCAAAGCACCATTCGGAGCTCCGGTTCTCTTCCAAAAGAAACAAGATGGGAGCCTTTGACTATACGTCGACTATCGAGACCTCAACAAAGTGACGGTGAAGAACAAGTATCCCATCCCGCTTATTGCGAACTTGTTCAACCAATTGGGCAAAGCAAAGTACTTCTCTAAACTCGACCTTCGGTCGGGGTACTGGCAGGTGCGCATTGCTGAAGGCGACGAAGCGAAGACTACTTGCGTGACCAGGTACGGAGCGTTCGAGTTCTTGGTGATGCCTTTCGGTCACATTCTGCACTCTTATGAACCAACTATTCAAGGAGTACTTGAATAAGTTTGTGGTCGTCTACTTGGACGATATCGTCGTCTACAGCCAAACGCTCGAGGAGCATGTCGAACACCTCCAGACAATTTTCAAGGTTCTTAGGGAGAACACTTTATTCGTGGAAAGGGATAAGTGTTTGCTCAAACGGAGATCTTATTCTTGAGGATCGAATCAGTGATGTCTCCATTCAGATGGACAAATCAAAGGTGCAAGCTATCGCGGAATGGCGAACTCCAAAGAAGGTGCCGAAGCTGAGATCCTTGGTTTTGTCAACTAGTGTCGACGCTTCATAGCGGGGTATTCGAAGCGTGCAACTCCACTGACGGAGTTGCTGAAGGAGCAGCCTTGGAGGTGGTCTAACAAATGTGAAGCTACATTCTAAGATCTAAAGGCTGCTATGTTGGAAGAATCGTTGCTCAAATTGCCAAACTATGGGGAGCCATTCGAAGTCCGTACAGATGCTTCAGACTTCACTATTGGAGTTCTCATGCAGGAGGGTCACCTGGTGACCTACGAGAGTCGCAAGCCCAACGAGACCAAGTGGCGGTATCCAGTGCACGAGAAGGAGATGACAGTGGTGGTCCACTGTCTACGAGTTTGGCGGCACTACCTTCTCGGATCGTGATATGTGCTAAGTACAGACAACATCGCTTTGAGCTATTTCCAAACTCAAAAGAAATTCTCCCCAAAGCAAGCACGATGACAGGACTTCCTGGCTGAGTTTGATATGACAATGGAGTACAAGATCGGAAAAGCAAATGTTGTGGCCGATGCATTGAGCCGGAAAGTGGAGCGAGTGAATGTCATACAATTGGAGGGCAGAGACCAAGCAAGTCAGTTACACTCCAAATTCCTTTCTAGGATCAGGGATGGACTGTACAGTGATCCCCAAGCAGTAACCCTGATGCAGCTCATCAAAGAAGGCAAGGCACGACGATTTTGGGTCTAGGAGGGACTCGTTTACACAAAAGGGAATAGGGTTTATGTTCCTCGAGTGGACAATTTGAGGCGTGAACTCTTAAGAGAGTGTTACGATTCCCTTTGGGCTGGACATCTGGGTATTCACAAAACCTTGGCTCTTGTGGAGAGGGCCTTCTACTGGCTGAAGATGGGGACTGACGTGGAGGAATATGTTTGAACGTACCTCACTTGCCAACAAGACAAGGTGGAGCAGCGAAAGCCGGTGGGTGGAGCCATTGCTAGTACTAGAAAGTCGTGAGAGAGCATTTCCTTGGACTTCATATCAAGCTTGTCGGCAATAGGGGGACTCGGATCGATACACGTGGTGGTCGTTTAATTTAAGTCTGCAACTTTCATTGCTGCACCCCTACACTGTTCAGCAGAGGAGGCGACTAAGCTAATGATGAAGAATGTGGTAAAGTATTGGGGAGTCCCGCGCAATATCATCAGTGATCGAGACGCTCGGTTCCTGGGATGATTCTGGACCGAGCTATTCAAATTGTTGGGGTCTAAAGTTATACTTCTCCAAAGTCTCCATCCCCAGACGGATGGCCAAATTGAAAGAATAGACTCGCTCCTTGAGCAATATATTCGGCATTACGTGAGTGCCAACTAACGAGATTGGGTGAAGCTATTGGATATAGCCCAATTCTCCTACAACTTGCAGCGGAGCTCTGCGTCCAACAAGAGCCCCTTGGAGATCATTACAGAACAACAATCGTCAACTCCTCACACCTTGGCTATTGGGTATACTAGGAGTAGTCCGTCAGCATATCATTTTGCAAAAGAATGACACCGAAATGCAGATATTGCGCGGGCTTACTTGGAGAAGGCGACCAAAAAGATAAAGAAGTGGGCAGACTTGGGAAGGCGACCGCATGAGTTCAAAGTCGGCGATTTGGTGTTGGTAAAGCTCAAACCAGCATCACTCTAATTCTTTAGGAACAAAGTACACAAAGGATTGGTGCGCAAGTATGAAGGGCCCTTCCCAATTATCAATAGGGTGGGTAACGTCTCTTACAAGTTGCAGCTGCCGACGTGACTCAATTCACAATGTTTTCCATGCTAGCAACTTGAAAGCTTGCCACTCAGATCCGCAAGATGCTTCTCGAAGTATACCAACTCGGCTACCCGCCACCAGAGCTTCCTACGAAAAGTGAGTTGAAACCATTTTAGCATATCGCAAGATAAAGCTACCCAATGGAACTGAGCAGACCGAGTACTTGGTGAAGTGGCGAAAGCTTTCCCAAACCGAAGCCAGTTGGGAGCCCGAAGACGCCCTACGACATGAAGTAGTCATCAACAACTACCAACAAGCGTTGACAAAGGCGTCGACAATTTAAGTGGGGGAGAATGTCACGAACGGTCGTCGCGCACCCGCAACAACTTCGTTCAACGAACCGTTCGTCACTTTTGCATGCTTGTACAAAGACATGGTAGCTTGTTTTGCCTTGGTTTTGTGTGTTTTTGCTTATAAAAATGCATGTTCGAATAGGTTACAGCGCTGCTGTGCGATCGCTCGCCGCGTCAGGCCGAACTGCCCCAAAATGGCTCCGTTTTCGCATGCCACGGCTTGTTTTCTGCAAGCCACAGCTGCACCCAAAACGTCAACCATCTCAACACCTTGGAACCCCCTGGGTGGCACAGGACTGGATGGGGCTTCGGTATATTGTCGGGCGTTGGAAAATCTTCACAAGTTCGTACGTTAACTTGACAAGAACTTGCCTTCGCGCCTAGCACCCGGTGAGCAGTTGTTTGTAGACTTACAATTGTTCGTTATACCTTCTAAAATCCTTGTTTTCCTCCTCTTCTCTTATGCACGCAAGGTGCTCGCTGAATTGCTTGTAAAGCTTCCCTTTCCGCGAGACGTCGGGACTTGTTCGTCGTTCGTTTTTCGAACTAATCAACTTTCTCTTTTATAGGTCCTTCGGGACCTGAGTGAGGTTGCAAATTGGCTGACCCTTTGCGGACGCATATCGCAAGGGCGCGTCATGACTTAGGCAATCCTAGCTAAGTCCGAGAAGTTGGCGCAAGTGTGCTTCGCAACTTAGGCAACTCAAGGTAAGTTCGCGTCTTTGCCGCAAGGGTGCCTCACGGCTTAGGCAATTCCAGCTAAATCCGTGACAGAGCGCCTAGCGCCTCGGGCGTTTTGGGACCTTGGCGCCTAACGCTTTTTAAATCACTGCAAAATTGTTAATGAACTTTAGTCTTGCTCAAACACATGATATTCACATGTTTTTCTGTTTACCTTCTAAGTTAATTCTCTGTTTGTTCCTAAGAGTTTCAATTTTTTCATCTCTGAATATTGATTATCCTCTCATTTTATCTATAAATTGTGCCTTCTTATAATTTTACGTTGGAAAGTTGCCACGGTTTCTTTTAAAGGATATTGGTTTCCAGGCAAAGTGCATTCAGAAAGATGATGCTTACATATTCTGCAGTGAAATTGGAACTGTTCTGGATACGAGGACATATGTAATGAATTAGTAGTAGACAATGAAATTGGTTAAACACTAGCAGCAGTTTCTACGTCAGATTACTTTGTTAGATTACTTTGTTCTCAATAAGAACCAAACTGATGTTAGTACTAGGACACAAGTTTCTTATTCTCCAATGTAACTCTCGAACTCCTTTTCCTATTAAGACTGTTAACATAATCTATTATGCTCCCTTCTCATTTGTCCATCCATCTTTATGTTAAAGAGGATTTACTTAATGTTTTATGCATGCATATATATGTGCCTGCGGTTCCAGGGATTATGAATGATGACTGTATCTTCTAAAGCCTCAAAACTGTATGCTGTTCTTTATATTGCTGTTGACTCTTATCTTTTGTGTCTTAATTGTTTGTTTGCCTTGCCATACAGTTGGAGCTGCTGTAGCAGTTGTAGGATTGGGTGCTTACCGAATTTATGCAGCGAGAAAAAACTCACCGGGGTGAGGTTGTCTGTTATTGTTTCAATAAACCTGGAAATAAGGCTATCTTCTGGAGCTTTTATCGTCATCCTTTCGGTCCAGTTGTACAGATACATTGCTAGTAATGGTGACCTTGGCAAAAAGTAGTGATTATGATGCTGCTGATAGTTTTCTGAGTTTTGTGCCTTCGGGTTTTTTCTTTGTTCTGCTTGACATAATCACCTGGAGGAGTAATCATCCTTCCTCAATTTGAGGAATTCGTGTTACCCAAACCCCACCCAAGGGTTCATCCCTTTATTATTACTCTCATTATCATGTATTTGTCAGCTGTGATGAAAGCCGACATAAAAAATTTGAGATGTTTATGAGGAGAGGGTTCTTCCCTTTATATGTTACTTTCTAAATAGTGTAATCCTCCCAGGTACTGAATTATCTTCTTTTATTTAGTTGAATGGTATCATGAATTGGAAAGAAGGAATGGGATTTTAAAGATTTCTACTTTCTTGGTTCAATATCTGTTCGACTATTAAGCTGTGCTTTCAAAGCAAAGCAATGCTCTCAACCCTCTTTCAGAAGCAGTTGTAGAAGAGCTAAAGGGGTCTCTATAAATTATGCATTGAGAACTGATGAATTATTCTCACCTTTATCTTTTTCTAGAGTAATGTTATATGTGAGTTAAGCTTCCTTGTACGGTGAAGCATGTAGTAGTATTGTTAGGGTTAACTCGCTTACATCTCTGCAAAGACTATTAACTATGCCCTATCGAACCGCCCATATCAATTGTGGAGTCATTCAACAACAAATCAGATTTATAAGGTGACCGAGGTGTAACGCAATTTATGACTTGCAAATTATGTATTCAACCAATTACATCTCCGGTGTGCTTTTACTTCATATGATTACCTACGAATAATGGTTATGTTTTCAGCTAAAAGATGGCAATTATTTTTGGTGCATTAATTTGAATATGGTTATTATAATAATTTCTGCAGTCTAAGAAAGAAACTCTTCATGTTTGTGAGATTTTTAATGCTCAAGTCTCTTTTTTTTACTCTTTTCTTCTCTCTTCTCATCCGCTGAAGCGAGAGAGAGAGAGAGAGCAATGGAAATATTGGCAAATTGTGAGGTTATTATCTATGTTTATGATGTTTGTACCACTTAAAATCCCTCAAATGTAATTCAAGTAAATTTACAAAATTTGCTTACTGCTTTTAAGAAAAATTCAATCGAACAATGCAGTACAATCTTGTTGGTAAATAATGATGGATCAATTGACTGGAGACGTTTTTGGATGGTTCGCATGATTTCCATTTTAGGTTTTCTTATAAGTTATTGTTGAAGATATTTATATTAAATTAATAATACAGACGAAAAAAGTATTGCTCCCTTGGCTTTATCATTTTCCGTCCGTCCGTCTCTTTATCTTCCTATTTTGTTCCCTCGGACGTGTATTGCCTCTCATCATATCCTTTCTCCTCCAACCAAAATCTTTATTTACTAGTCTTTCTTTCTTCGCCCGTCTATTATGTCTCGTCATTCGATCCTTTCTCCTCCAACAAAACTTTTTTTTACTAGTCTTTCTTTCTTCGCCCATCTATTATGTCTCGTCATTCGTTCCTTCCTCCTACAACAAAATCTTTATTTACTAGTCTTTCTTTCTTCGCCCATTACTTAACCTCCTCGATCATTCCTCTCCTCACCTTTTTGGTGTCTCGTATGTCATTTATTCAATATAACTCTGATATAAGGTTGTCTTGGATTCTCTTTGAACTTATTTTATCTATTCAATGAAAACGAATAATGTTTTACAATTTTATAAAAGTAAAAAATTACTACCGACTCCTCGGTTGTGTGTCTTTAATCTTCTCATCTGAGTAGAATACAATTTAAGAGACAAGGAATTAACCGATCCAAAAAATATATATATATGTAATCGAAATAAAACAAGAGATTAGACATTGGAAGCATGTGCTGGAAAAGAAGTGAAAAGCTCACGATGATAACATAATCTTTATGTTGGAATAAATACTCAATTTTTTTTTTAATTGGTTGATATTATTCCATTTGGCTTATTTTGCATGATAATGTGCTTTCTTCATGTTTTATAAATCAAAATGAACCATCGTGAAAGGGACATTTTTATAAAAATATCTTCTAATGCTACATATAAACTTTCTTAAAATTATTTTTATATTAAAATATATCTAATTAAATACGTGTCTGATCAATTGATTCATCGGTGTGATTAGTCATCCTGTGATCCGAAGCTCGTTGGCTGGTTCGATTCAAATAAAAATGGTTGACCCAATTCTTGGCGATCATTGTTTTAGTTGACTATGAGCGTATGGGCCTCAAGTCCAAATAATAACGCGAGCGTCTCATCCATTTTTATTTTGGGTCAAAGGGAACTTCCTGCTCTGACTCTCGACGGCAAATCCACGTACGAATCAACTCGGTCAACGGGCCTCCGCTACCTCCGTTGACCTTTTCTTCAACCCTCCTCCCGTCCCTGAGACCTACCTACATCACGTTGTCACTTGCATCCGCCACGTGTCAAGAACTCACTCTCTCTCCCCATGCCTATATCAACCCTCGCTAAGAGACAGACTCTCGTCGGCGAGCTCAACTTTGTTTGACGCATCTTCTCATCGATCATGGCAGCGGTAGGTTCTTCACCACCAACAAATCCACATATCTCTCTCTCTCTCTCTGCTTTACTAATGGCGTGTCCTTCCTCCGTAATCCCCTACAGGGACACTGGAGATCGGTAGCGCGCCGCGTGGGGTCGACACGACGCCTCTCAACCTCGACCACACCCAAGATGAAGCCCATGTCATCGGTAGGCGCTGGATTTATCAACCATGACCATGGCAGCAAGCTGAGGTCCGACTTCGTCACATACATACCTTCATCAATCCTTCGTATATCTAGTCCGTTAATGCTGACGAGCTCAATAAGTTATTTATACGTGAACGCATGCATGCATGAATACACGTATATGAATGTACATAGAAGTTGTGAAACGTTTGGTGCCATCAGGGAATCGAAGGCGGAGTTCACACCGATCGGCGTGATGTTGGGGCTGGTGCTGATGGCGTTGACCATCGGCGCGCACGCGGCGAACCAGCAGTTGGCGCACTCGCCCGGCGCTCGCGTGAGCAAGAAGAAGAGGGAGATGATGGCCGAGGTGGAGGAGCCGGAGCACGTGGCCGGCGAGGCGGACCGCTTTGTCACCAAGTCCTTCTCGAGGAAGGTGGCTCACCTGCAGGACTTGGACGCCGTCAGATCCGACCCGAGTCCCCCATCCATTCCATCAGTATATACTCTCCTTTTTATTATTATTGTTATTATTATTATTATTATTATTATTATTATTATTATTAATCTAATTTACTGGCTTAAGCTTTTGTATGAAAAAATTGATACTGACTGATAATGTAAAAAAGAATAAAGCTACTTAAAGTGTTTAAAAATAAAAACTCGGAAGTTCCTATATTCAATCCTTTTCTACTTTTATTTTTTTATTGTTGTTGTTGGATATGTCGTTCCTACACATCTTTCATTTATTTTTTGAACCACTAGTGAGTTAGAGATACAATTAGATATTCTAATAGCATCATTCATTTGTATAATCATAGCCTGGCTTAAGCTTTTAGATGAAAAAATTGATACTGATAGTGTAAAAAAGAATAAAACTACTTAAAAGTGAATAAAAAAAATACTCCGAAGATTCATCTATTCAATCATTTTCTTTCTTGTTGTTTAGATGTCCGTTCCTACACATCTATCTATCTGTTCATTATTTTTCTCGCGCCTCCGGTGAGTCATACATATAGCTTAAAAGAAAAGAAAAAAAAAAGATCAAATCATATTCCAATAGCTTCATTCATGGCATGTAATCATACCTCGTGCTTTTTGGTGCAGTCCACGAGCCACGGAGACGTCGAAGACTGATGGAGTGAATCCACCAAGGGGCCATCAAAGATCATACGGGATTGGCTTTGATATCCTTCTCTTTTGCTTTCCCTTTAGATATCAGCCCACCAACTATCTGTCTGTCTGAGACCGATAGAGGGTGTTCGTTCTTGCTGTTGCAAAACAAATGGAATGGGAGTTTTGTGTACCGGAAGCGATTTGTGCACTCCGGAAGTGATCGTCTCTTTTATGTTAATGTTCTCCTTCTGTTGCGATAGAAAATTTTGAAGGATGAGATTTGTGTTGTTGTCACCATATCCTCCGTTGTACATCTGTGGAAGAATGATGCAGAAACAAAAAGTAAACAAACCATTTCTGGTGGAAATAACACCCGACGACAGTTGCATCATCTCTTCAATGTGATGATTCCAGCAGAAGGAGTCGAAGGACTTTTTCTCAGATCTGTCATTCATAATTCTGCATAATTTACCCAAGTAGTTGATGTTGAAGCTTCTCTTGAAGTAGAGAGATGTTTTTACCCAGAAAAATGCTTTACTCTACTCTTTGCTAGCAAACTCGAAGTCAGAATTCTTGTATCTGTATTGGACACATCATATACATTTTATGCTGAGATCTTTTAGACTTGTCCTCGGTGTTAAGAAGCTCAGCATTAAGCCTGAATACATATCCTCCTCGGCTGTTTAAAAGTGATTTAGGGTTCACAGGGCACTCTTTCTACCATCTGCTGTAGATATTCATGTAAAGAAGTACCCTTTGACAAGATTAAAGTACTGTGGAAATTTTGGACAAGAAAGCATTACACCATAACACTATAGATTCTCTGCTTTTTGCAACTAAATAAGCGTTCATGGTGTTTAAAAGAGAGAGAATACTGGTAAACAGTAAATCAAAGAGAAGAAAAATGTCAATTGTAACTGAGAACACATCATTACAATCCACAAATAGAAGAAGTTGGATATATTATTCCATCAAAAATCTAAATACTGAACAATGAGAGCAAAAGATGTCGACTTATCTACCAAGCCTACTCATACTGAGATAAATAAGAGAAAAAGAAGTACCATCGACGGCAATGAGGACTGAGGCCACCACCTCGGGAAGCCAACTGAACCAGACACACCTTGGGCTGAACCTGGAAGTCGAGGGAGGAGGCCAACGCCAAGCTAAGCATGGGAGGGAGCAGAGATTAATGGACACACTTGAAAGAGATAGGGAGAATGAAGAAGATAGATGACAAAGGAGAGAATGAAAACCTTCGAGGGCAGGAATGAGAGGAATGGGATGGCATAAAGGATATGGACACTAACAACAACAACAACAAAATCAAATATGTAAAAAGTCAAATCAAATAAATAATTCATTCCATAGTAAAGCCACAATTCTAGTTATAAGTCAAATCAATATGAAGAATGCTGATTAAATACCTTGGAAACTTTTTGCATTCCCAAAAATTCTAGATTTCATACCAGTACACTGTCACACACATTGTATACGCTACGATCGGAAACAAACTACAACACTTATCCAGTCACTCGAGTTAGTCCAAGATTCAAGTTAGATGTATCAATACACCTGTTATACAACTTGAGATTTAGATCCGAAGCTTCTTTCCAGGTTGCGGATCATCATTGTACTCCCCACCGTCATCATTGCCCTCTCTCTCTGCCTTTTTCCTTGCGAGGATTTTATTGATCTTGTGAAGCTCGTTAGTAAGCTTCTGGTCCTTGTTTTGCTTCCTCGTCTTCCGTCCATCCTGCATCTTGACTCCAAATTGGAAAGCAGCCTTTGGCATCGCCTCCTTTTGTTCATTGTACTTAGCCCACTCCTCTTCTGTCTCAAAATCCCACCTGTGAAGACGACCTTTTGCCTGTTCCAGAATCATGTATTAGCAAAATAAAGCTCAATAACATAAAGATGAATGCAACTGTAGGATGAAGAGTATGCCACCATGCAGGTGTATTAAAAGCAGAAGACACCACATGAAACATTAGAATATCTTTTCAGAAAAGGAGCAATTTCTCTTGGGTTCTATATGCACCAGCAAGTGCAAAGCATGGCATGATCGAGCACATTACATGTTCAATCTGTGATTGGCATGGCAATGGAATGCAATCCCAAACACCATGATTATACTGCAAACAAGGTTTCTTCAATTATGCACAAACTCACTACTACTTGCTGTATCTCAGAAAGATATCATAGATTGTTTCGAGAATCTTCATGCATGGTACACAACCAAACTCAGCTTCAGATTCAGCTATGTGATTTAGCATCATCATTGGTGCCAACAGACTTTATGGATCATTAGTGATCAGAATCAGTATGTCCTTCCGATAACTAGCATGACTAGAAAGTTCAAATTAGACCCCGATTGTCTGGAAGCAGCTAATTGAATCGACTGGGATCAATTAGACTGATCGTTCCATCATGGCCAAACTGGGTGGACAAATGTCCCATGAGGGCTTTTGGATTGGACCAGACCAATCATGTATACTATGTCCATCCCAGCCAAATGCCAAAAAAATAAAACCAACTCTGCATACCAACTATTGGATCACCTACTTCCTGAATATGGAGATGGATAAGACCTGGTAATCCAATGAACTATGCTTTATCTCTACACTAATATCAAATAAAATAATCCAGTACAACATCAATTGTTTAGCATAGAATCAAACTGTTCGTTAAAAATCAGAAAAGAAAAGCAAGTACCAATATTGCTTGTTTGAGTAAACAAACGATGCTGATACAAGGGCATGCATTTTAAAATATGTGCCTGTTGTACTTATTTGTAAAACTTAAAACATTAGCAGCAGCAGGATAATTAACCACAATTCAACCATGACAGACAGATATGAGTGACTTGATATTGCACATGAAAATAGAAAAATAACAGCAAAACATGTTTGACTGCAAGTAAACAAGTGAAAGAGCTTAGCAACTAGCTTAGGTAAAACAAGGGATTCAAAAAACAGTTGTATCAGTTAGCAGGACAAATATTTACTGTTCTTCCTCCAAAAAATTGCATCAAAATCTAATGCCATAAAACTGCTAGGAACATTGTGCAGCACTATTTTATATTCAAATACTTCCTCCCCAGACCCCGTATTGGCAGAAGCCTTCCTTGTACATTGGGTTTGCCCTTTATACTTCAGACCTTTAAATTTATTTTAGGGTTTTTAGTCACGAAAGCAACTTCTTTCCTTGGTTCTTGCTTACATTGACAAACCCCAAATTAATGGGAGCCTCATGCACTAGGCCGCTCCTTTTTTCAGAAATATTCACAATGCATGTCATATAAGATAATCTTAGCAGATTGATGAATTAAAAGAAGTGAAAAGGTAACAGAAAATTAGATCTACTCTACAGGATGTTTATGTACCAGAAAACATTTTCTAAAACAAAGGATTACTTACACGGCCGCCCATGTCCATTTTTGACAAGTCATCTTCATCATCACTGTCTATCACCTCATGATTGTACTCCTGATAACCAGGATAACATTCGGAGTAACTTTCAGATATAAAATTTGGATCCTTCTCACGAGAATCCTTTTCCCTTAGTTTTTGAAGCCTTTGGTCATCACGCTTAAAAACAGACCCTAAACCACGGTCCTTGTCTTCTTGAGTCATAAAACGTGGATCTTGGGATACATTTGCTCCTGCCAATGCATCATAGCCCTGCATATTTTGTTGCAGATACTGTTCAGGATAGGCCAATTGTTCAGTGTACTGATACTCTGACCACTCTCCTTGGTATCCAGCGGCCACCATTTGAGCTTGAATGGCATCATACCCGTTCTGCAAGATAGAGGTAAGAAGAGTGAACATTCATATTAAGATGAAAAAATATGAAGTTGGCTGAATTCTTTGACCAGCTCAGGCTAAGCAAAGCATGAACAAGAGGAAGATCAAGAATCATGAAGAATCTTCTAAACCTAATCATACCAAGTTCCCATGACAAATAATCCTATGAAATTTTATCTATCTTTTACCAGAAATAAAGTATCACTACAATCATTTCTCATATAAGCAGTGACCACTTTTTCACTAGAAAGAAAATCAAATTAGAATGAACTCACTGTTTGCTGCCATGCTTGAGCGGTTTCAGGAGGTGGGATGGGACCATAAACAGGTTCACTGAAATAAGACTGCTTCTCTCGGATACGTGGAGACTCTTCCATGTCCTCTGAAACTGGGCTTTGACTCATGTCCTTACTAGGAACAACGTAATCAACTCCATCGCCTAGAAATATGTCATCCACTTCAATTCTAGCAATAGGAAGAGATTTCTTCTCCTTTGCATCAACATTACTCTTGCGATGAGCAGGTGCCATTTCTCGTTGTGGATGGGGCTTCCTGATGTCACTAGAGTGTTGTCCAGGCTTCTCTTCATCATGACCATTAGCAATTCCAGAAATCTTCCCTGCCAGTGAAAACAATTAACTATGGTTTAGCTCAGCAAGCTAATTTCTTTAGTTTCTGGATCATCTTCGAATAAGAGTTTTAGTTAATATTGTCAGTATAATTGGTCTCCAGATCCAAATGGTTTAAATCAATTTAAAAGTGAAAGTCAACAGCTATTTAAAAAGTTACAAATATACATGAAGAATGTTGCAAAATAGTTCAGTTGTTCATAGAATAGGTCTATTAATTCTTTATAGAAAAGAGATGCCAAAAGTTCCCTTTCAATACATGTGAATGCTTTTTTATTGAAAGAAGTGTACTGACCAGTGGACTTCCTCTCTCAATAAACTCATCACTTTCTCTACTTCTTCTGTCAATCTAGGGACTTCCTCGGTTATCTGTAACAGGTACTATTCATTATAAAGGTGATCCATGTTACCTTCACTTATGGTATCTACCAACAGAGCATTGTTTGGACTATCTATTACTTTGTTGTGAAAATTCTATAAGAAAACCAAGATTGTAGGCCCTTTGCTGTTGCTTGTCTTCTGGCAGAATATCCCCAAGCAATTACTTTGCAATAGTCCTTAAACCTATCATTGTGACCAACCAGCACCAATATCCCATTTGTTTGCTGCTTTTGGGTTGGCCAGTTCTCCAAATCAGAAAAGTCAAACAAGCCACATCGCCGTCAATTAATCTCAACAGAAAGGTACTGAGAGGTTGCTAAACAGCCAATTTCAAACATTAAACAAGTCTCTTACTCATCCAGTTTATATTCCAGGGAGCTCTTTTTCTTCTCTCTGATCTTTTTTAAAAGTCTTACAAGGTCTAGAAGTCCCTATTCAAAAGCAGCAAGACTGTCCCAGATAGAACATATGAAAGGCCTCTTTCTGGGTGGCAGTATATCTCTAACCTAGTCTTTTTTCTTCTTCCACTTTCTCCTTTCTTACTATGCTTCTTTTGCCTCCTAATTATCTCCAAATTGTTTGGTATCTATTTGAACTTCTCTCTTCTGATAGCTGCGACTTTGCTGCCAACCTCTTAGTTTTAGTTAGATTAGACCAAATGAATTAGGTCACAATTGCTGCCATGATTGATACCAAGGTTTTCAATCTTGACATCCCTACCCATACCAGTTCCATGTCAAATTGGTGTGGGTCCCAGTACCCACCAATAAAGATAAAAAAAGGAAAAGTACACAAGTAAAAAATCTATACTAACTTCCTACTTCATTTCACTTTTCCATCTCGTTCATCCCCAGTGTCAAGCCAGTGAAGAAATTTTATAATTAAACCGATCTACCATTTGTTTTAGCATTTATATCAAGATAAACTCAAACCAACTAGTTCAGTCCTGAAAATAACCGCTATAGCCTGCCTCTTAGCTTCTGTTAGAATGGTTGATTCACAAAGTGGTCCAGCATTGAAGCAGTATCTACAACCTGTATCAGTCAGCAAGCTACAGTGTTTAAAACCTTGGTCGATATTAACAAGTGCAACTTCCAGTACTGTGATCATATTATTCTTGCATAATAAATATAATTTCTCCTGACAATTAAGTCATATCAAGTCAAAGGTCCAAAAAAAAAAGTTGAATCTAATTAGTTCTCATGTGGGTTACTTTTCCAAATTGTACGTGATACCTTTAATTTCTTTCTCCTTTTTCTTTTTCTTAAGAACCTTCCCTGATGATCCAAGACGAAGATATGTCATTATTTTAGCAATCCGCTCAAGGACAGAACCATCCACGCTGACAGTAACCATTTCCTGCAGGATCAATGGGGTAAGGGTGACATTAACTAATTAATTAAATAATAATAATCATGTCAGAGTGGAAGACTAAGTACTTCTGGGACCGGGCAGTCAGCTTTGCTCCTATGAAGAGTAGTAGGGATATCATGTGATAAGCCATCCTCCTAGTAAAGAGCACAAGTAATAATTGTATGTGAGACGATAAAATTCTTTACAGACCAAAATAAATCAAATATAGATACAAAAGATCAATAATATCAGAACTGAGTGAAAAAGAAAATAAATTCCTTAAAGTAAATCCAGGTCTCGAATCTGTAATGATGACAATATCATATATACTTAAATTGCTTAAGTAAAAAATGGCATATCATAGTTACCAAAGAAAAACAAAGTCAGTGTCTGACAATGGCAGATTGGTTGGTATAAGAACAAAAAAGAAACTTTAAGAAATTGAAATGCATCTACAGACAACACACATGTCCAAGGCCAATTAACAAAGCTTTAGTTCGTAGGTAACTTTAAGGCTTTATCTCAAGTAACAAATGTGCTCAGGAGCAACATTTCAACTGAATACTTGCCACTTCAAATATTTGGGATGTCACAAGCAAGCAAATTAAACCATAACCTTAAAGAGTAAGAGAAACAAACTTCTCCAAGGAACATGTTGTATGTCCGATCATTTACGAGTAAAAACTTTTAATAACAATAATGCAAGATATATATCATGGTTCGTCTGATCGGTCCATACCGTTATACCGACCAGCGATCGGTATGATATGTACCAATCTGTACCAACATACTGACACATGGTACGATGGGACATACCGACAGACCGATATGTACTACTCATACTGGTCTCCTATCGGACCATTACATACCACCTGTACCAGGCAATATGCCACGGCACAACAAACCCTGATATATACTATGTTCTAGTCCCTTTATGGAAGTATACTATAATTCTAACAAAAAACTAACAGCACACATGCTAATATGATGAAGAATGAAGAATCACGGAGTTTATGCAAGGACAACAATGTTGTATACTTGTATCCTACAATGGTAAAAGATAGAATACAAAAGAAAATTTTACCATGTTAAAAATGAATGCCATCCGTCCAGGAAGAAACATTTCATTTGCCTTTATATTGCTTTGTGGTTTGACAATCCACTGATACACTGACTGCAATAATGGAAAAAAACATTAGCAATATGAAACTCAAGAAAATTTTTCCGCTAGGGTATCCCAACATATAGGCAATATAGACAAAAGAAACTCCCAATAAGATAGTCATTGGATGAGCTCATGAACCTTGGCAGTTGCAGTACGAAATGTAAGCGGCTGGTCTTCCTTGGAAGTTCTGTAAGGAACAGGAATTAATTGGTGTCAGTAGTGTTAATGAAGATATGGAAACGTTATGGAAGTCCAAACTATGGAAAATATAGTATCGACTTCGAAAAATAGCCATATTCCGTGCAATGTCAGTACATTTCCTTGTCAGTACAATGCTATATTTAATACCATGACAACACAATGTCATTGTCAATACCATGCCAACACAGGTGGCACATCAGCATGCTCATTCCTCGGTAAAAAGATGATTACATATTTAGAAAATGAGACAGTTAAGAACCGGCTTCAGGTCCTCTTCTTCTCATTTTGCTAATGGTTGAGTTTACTAGCCATATTCCAGTGATTTAAAAAATGCTAGGCGCCAAAAGGCGCCAAGGTCCAAAAACGCCCAAGGCGCTAGGCGCTCGCCCGAGCGAAACGAGGCGCTAAAATATAAAAATATATAATATAATATAATTAATAAATATAATTATTTAAAATTTTAAATTAAAATATGCTATTAAATTAAGAAAATCTATTAGCAGTATTAAAAATTAATAATTTCAAATAAACCTAACAATATTAACAGTATACAGTATACTGTTAACAGAAGGAGAAGAAGGAAGTGTAAGGGGGTGCTGAGCTTGCTGACTGAGAAAAGAGGAAGCGACAGCGGCAACGAAGTGTAAGGAAGCAGCGACAGCGGCAAGCGGCGACAGCGGCAAGTGACGGGAGTGGGAGCGGGAGCAGGAGCGACGAGCAGCAAGAGTTGCGAGCAGCGACAGCGTTTGCGAGCAGCGACAGCGACAGCGGGAGCGGGAGCGGGAGCGGGAGCGGCGAGCAGCGGGAGGCGCGAGCGACGACAACGGCAACGTTTGCGAGCAGCGACAGCAGCAGCATTTGCGAGCAGCGACAGTGGCGAGCAGCGGGATCGGGATCGGGAGTGGCAGCGGCGAGGGTTAGGGTTCGGTTGTCACTTATAGCAGTTTTAGTTGGTTCGATTGAACCAACTAACCATCGGAGACCGAACCAGGACTGAACCAGACCTAAAATCCTAGTTCGGTCGCCTTAGTTAACCCAGGCGCTCACCCGAAGCGCCCAGCGCCTGGGCTCGAGCGAGCGCCCAGGCGGCGCCTGTTTGAAGCGCGCCGCCTGGGAGATTAGCGAGGCGCTCGGGCCTCGCCTCGCCCGAGCGCCTAGGCGAGCGCCCGAGCGCCTTTTTAAATCGTTGTCATATTCAATATAAACTCTCATCATAATTTAGCTTCCTAAATAATATTGTTTGCATTAATGAAAATCGGATTAATTTAAAAAAAATTATATGGAGTCAAATTCAAGAAAATAAGGGTCTTAAACCAAGTAGAACTAAAACTGAATTTATGAATTGTAACTCTAGAAATTGTAAAAAAAAAAAATTGAGAGTATAGTTAAATACTTAAATAGATGCATAAGATCCTACAAGTATTTTAGGCATCTAGGATTACCAGTCTCTGAGGAGACACCCTGGTGATCCAAGTGCTCTTTGCAAAATCAAATGGTCAAGACTTTGAGTCCCATTGTCAATGTGTAGTGTGCATGATATTAATGTAAAACACATATACAGAGAGGATTTTTGTTTTAAATTGGATATATTATTTCTGCAAGATAATGATGAAAGGAAGATAGCAGAAGAGGGCCATTAGAAGTTTTAATGAACCCTATGTGCCCCTTAAATTGGAAGAGAAGCTTTATATGACAGTTGTCAGATCATCGACGCTCGAGGATCAAAATGTTATAACTAGAAAGGAGTATATACATCAAGGCAGTAATTACTGCCAAAATAGATCTTAAACTTTTTAAGATGATAGGAAGATGCCCAAATGGGGCCTTTAGATGTTCTAGTTGGACAAGGTGACTAAATTAGTACAAGTGCTGTAAGATGTAAACATATCAAAACTTTATTTACAATAATAAAAAATTAATAGTTCTTATTCAACCACTGATATTGTCTTAACTGTAGCTCTATACCAAGAAAAGTCCACACAGTCAATCCTAAATAGTTGGAACACTATAACGTGTAGTTTTTTTCTTCTAGCTATTCAAGTAATTTGCATACAATCCCACTATTATTTTATGAGCAACGGGAGTGTCCTGGGTGACAATTTTGACTTAAAAGTTAATGTTGACACTCTTTACATCTACTTTCATAACAATGACTGATAATTTATCGCATTTCATAAGTTATTTATCACTAATAAAGTTAGATTGTATGCATAATTCAGAAGAGCAGGAATTCACAACAAAAAACAATAAAATCAACTAATCAATTCTACAATTCTTCATAGACACCTAGCATTTTATCCTCCTTGATTTCACCTTTAGCCAAAACAAATTATCGTCTAATGTCTTTCTAATCCAATGTAAACTCGGGGTTCGTTACCTTCATCCAGGGTGCCCTAAGCATGTCCAGTCCGGGACCAAGGCTAGTTGAGAGTAACAGCCACTATATCTCTGATAAAAATTCACTTTATCAACCCTCAAACCCTATTCTTTATATCGAAGGCAAATTTAAAGATTTTTAAAGCTTTTCTCAGACCTTGAAAACTACTTAAGCTTACTTAGGAGTTTACTTCTTTCAAGATTATTCAAGGAAAATTCATGCACATAAGCTGCATTACCTCAAATCTCTGTTCCACATTCAATCTGAATTGTCTACAATATCTTAATCTTCATTCATGAATAATCACTTCTTACTAGTTGCCACGATGCTTTTTGCTGACAGTGAACAATTCATTTTAAGCATAATTACAAATTGTGAGCTTCCACGACCCACAATCCACCAAAACCCACTCCACTGTAGCATCCAGCCCTAAATAATATCATGAAAACTCATTTGGATATGGCAAAACAGTTGCATATTGATATCCTGTTGAACCATGTAAATGGAGTTTCTAAATTTTGACCACATTTTAAGGATGGAATTCCCTTAATTATCAAAAGAACCTGACTTTTAGTCATATTCAGAAGTGACGAATCGACTGAACCATATAAAATTGCATAAACATTATGCAACAGCTGTATAAATAACTAAATAAGAATATATATTATTGCAAAACAAAGATTTGGGCTAGTTGCAACTTTGAAAGACCTGAATCTGATCCTACAGTAACTACTATTTGTTCAATATTCACCATATAACATACCGAGACTGTTCATCCTTCCCATCTTCACCATCTGTTTTCTTGTCAATTTCACTCCTTACCTTGTGAAGCAAAGCATAATCTAACCCTTTGACCAAGTGTGTATGTTCCAGATCCCCTAATGAAAATTTTGAAATGAAAAGGTAAGTGCAAATTAAATAAATATGATAAAAACATAAACAAAGAGGGTTTTGTAGTCAAACAAGCTTTAAAGCTCGGTACAACATGATCCTTATATAGCATATGGCAAGTTTTGCATCAAAATGAATGAAGAGATATGCATAATGGATAATGGAATTCATGTAAAGGATTACTAAAAACATAGAATAAAAATTATCAGCATTAGTGAACAGTCACAAATAGTACCAATCAAGTATGAAACAAAAGAATATTGACAAAAGTGGTACGAATACGTCCAATGGAAAACTACAAATGCACCAACTTACTAGGTGTGCCAATTGAATCAGCGCAATAGAAGACAAAAAAATGGCAAATCCATCCAACTTTGATAGGATGATTTGTAATTGTATACAACCTAAAAAAGAAATTTTCTGGACATAACTAAAGAGTGCTCACATATTAAAGTTAAAAAATAAAGAGACGGGCATATATATATACTAAAACATGTAACTCTCTCAAAATAGAGTCAAATATGTCATTTTGTCTTCGTACCAAGAACTAGTCCAAGGTCCACATCTTTACACAGCAAAAAATGACTGAAGAAATGCACCTACACATATATAGACAAAAAGATTCTTGCAGAAAAATATCAAATTTTGAGCAGATGAGAGCGAAATTTTAAATGGTCTCCCACACGTGTCCATGCAACAGATTGTTTAGTGTTTCTTTAAAACTAGCATTTTACTTGTAACTTCCTAATAAGAACAGCCCATATTATCAATGCTTCTATAAATTAGACTTTTTATTCTTCATTTGAAAACCTTATTCTACCTCAGGCCTGGCTATTTCTAAGCTCATTTGAATGGTTTTTACCCCAAAGCAAACTGACAACATAACAACCAGAGTTAATGAGGTGCCAGTAACAATATATTATAGCTTACACTAGCTATAAGAATGAGAGCATGAAAAATGATACATCTAAATAACATAATTCTTTCAGAAGTTTAGCCCTACATATAAAAATAACTTTTTTATCTTCAACTAAGTGTTTGAACCTAGTAAGTTAACCAATGTACTATCAGAAACAGAGATTCTTAGGGTTACATTATCACACATCACATTCAATTACAGCATCTGAATAGTAACAAATGTCACCATAATCACTTGCACTCATCATTTTGTATGGATATCCAATAGGTACAGTTCAAAGAAATGAAACTATAATTTATTTATAGGAAACACAACTCAATCCTCTGAAAATATAGATAAAACTTGTTCAGTAAACAAACCTCCAAGATACTTGCTGTTCTCAATAGATATCTTATGTGCATCAGTTAACCTGTAAAATCAATAAAGTAAGAGTTCAATTTTTCTCAGTAAGTACAGTATCATAGATAAGATATCCTAGATGTCATACCTCAGATCAACTGTTCCAGGAGGAGCTACAGCATGAAATGAACCAAGCTCAGTTGGCTCATAATCAGGGTTTTGATCTTCTCTCCGCTCTTTAGCACGATCCCTGTACCTGGGAGTTTCTGGTTCCTCACGCTTCTCTTCTCTGCTTACAGATACTTATTTTAGCATTCATGATAAGATATTGTCCATTATTAATATTCTGTGTTAACATCTTTAGCTACAATCTACAGTCCTATTAAAAAGAAATGCTGGGATATTACACAACGAAATAATGTCTAAAGCAAGAAGAAACTCCTTGAACACAAAAGTTAGACAAAAACCATATGCAGTTGAGTTTTTTTTAAGTCAATAAAATAACAATTGATAAATCATGAACGTATCAAACATCAGATAACAATATAAGTCAACAAGAAGTGAGAAAAGGTGTTGATATGACTATCTGTCAGCTTTTTATTTCCCCAATTTTTCCTCATTCAGCACCTTGAAATAGTCTTTACAGCACTAATTGCAAGCTAGCAATGGCATTCGACTAAAGCCACTTTGCTCATTCACAACTCAGCATAACCAAGAATAGCTTTGGACTACTAGCTGGGCTCCAGATTCAATTTTAAGCAACTATTTGATGAAATTATTGTCAACTAAGCTTAGCTAATAAATTCGTAATTGGAGATATGCCCATAAGTGCTTGATGTTAAGTCAGGAAACAACACCTAGAGTCATCCTTGCGGTAAGACAATGGAATATGGATATCAAAGTAATACTTCTGGACTTTACAACTATTTCACTAAAAGAATTTCCTGATGGCCGAAAAACATATATCAACTTGCATATGCCAATCTTGTGACATCCCAAATACCTCTTTTCTTGATTTTCTACATTCTTAGCAAAAGCATAGAAAAATTAAGATCTATTTTATTTTATTTTCTTGTAAAAAAGCAAACTAAGCACTAGGTTTTAATTATGCTAACTGAAAAGAATTTCTTCTCCAGAAGGACTACATTTCAGTGTGAACTGACCGCTCAATTATTGTGATGCTTTGCCACCAAACAGCATGTTACTACTCCCTCTTTACATATTGTGTTCCGAAGTGTAAAATAAAAGAGAGTGGTCATTTTCTCGTCTGATAGAATACTCACAACTTACACATAAAAAGTATCACAAAAAGATGCGAGAACAAGATACTCTTCATTAGTAATCTCGGATACATATAAGCTATAGTAATTACTGTAACAAATGGGGATTATAAAGGGGTAGGCTTTTGGAATTTGGTAAGCATTAGGAACTGAAAAAAGAATATGGAAAAGAACTTTCTCAACCCAACACCAGTCAGGTGACCCTAACATACATCTCCCAGAGCAAGCAGATGTTTCGAATGTGATAACACCAGAAAATGTTGCTTTTTTAGCACAAATACATCGAAGCTTTGCATTCATTTTACAAATCACTAGAAAACCCAAACAAACCAATCGAAATTCCTGAATTTGCTTCGTAATATCATCAAATACGAAGCAAAAGAAGGTCAATCCAACAGAATATCATACTATATAAACGGAGAAATAAATAACAACAATTAGAAGAACAAATAAGAGAGAAGTGACTAAATTTTCATAAATCAAACAAACACAAGAATCACTTACTTGCGCCGCATCATCTTCTCCTTGTAGTTCTTTTTCCCCGACGACATGGCTACGAACTTGCAATACGCACCCTACTAAACCCACTTGATCCTGATCTTCTTCAGATCGTGAGCACACGGATGCAACACTAATTCCACCACAAGAAGGAGAAAGAAATAAACCAAATGTTTATTTGACCTTGCAGTAGATGGCGAGATGGAATGGGTGCAAGAGGATACTTGGGAGGCCTCATTACCTCGTAGCTAGGGTTGATTTCGATGTTGGAGCCCAATTCGTCGTTTCCGTATCTCTGAATCTAATGGGTTTCTCTGTTCCTCTTTGGATTAGGTTTTGAGGAAGAGAAGGCGTCGAACGGTGACAGACACCGCACGCGCCACGTGCTCTATATATATATATATATATATATATATATATATATATATATATATGACTTACTTGAAGCTAATAATAATTTATAATTAATTTAAATACAAGCATAAATAAAATAAAGTTTGCATGTTGTTGGTTAATCTTAGTCAATTGATTTCCAATTGATTATTATGATAAAAATGTTGAAGCTTCAATTAACATAGATAGGCATGTCTGTAGTTACTTTTTTTTTTTTTGGTTTAATTTTATTCATAGGAAGATGTAGAAAGATAAATTAAATTTTAGATAATGTGTGGAATTTGGGATTGCTTGATCTTGAGTTTATCTATTGGGGATTGTGTTCCGAATCAAAAGATCTATCTAATACGACTAGGTTGATGTATTATTATATTACATGGCTTAATGAAAGAGTGCAATGGTGATGTGTAAAAACTTTAATTTTTAGTATGAGTTTAGTTTAAGATTTAAAGTTAGTTTATAAGGATTTAATTGATTGATAGATTATCCTTAATTTGGGATTAAGAATTATAGACAAATACTTCAACCTCACCTCAACAAGTCGATAAATCAATTGTTATTATTTTTTGGATTGGATCGACACAAACAGTATGTATCAGAGTCAACCCAATATTGTATTGTAAATTGTAAGGATTCGTGTAGGAAAGAAATATAAGTATTTTGAACAGATAATTTAAGCTCAAGAAATTAGAGTCAGGATCATATCTTTCTTTTCTCGATTAATTGTCGTGACGGTTAGCATGTTTACAGTATCCACCGCCGATCCATATCTTTCATCCGCAAACATGTCTGAAGAATGTAGAGGGATCCGTAGAACAACAGAAGTGAATTCTCATAATTGATGGAGCAAAACACTCTGTGATGATCCAACAACACATTTCTGTAAGATGTGTAATCGAGAACCATGATTCCCGACAAGAAAGAAGGAGTCGGCATGATAATATTTGTTTGTGAATTGCCCAAATACCTTGCAGAACTGCAACAAGTATTGGCAGCAGAAGACTTCAGATTCAGTAATCCGCATTCGTTTCGTCTCCACAAAATATTACAGCTTTGTACCTTGCTTGTTTCTTTAAGCCAAGCTTACCTGAGTGAAAGCACCGCAACTTCTTGGTTCAGGTCGAAGTCTTTCCATGGTAGCTGGAGAGACGAAGCATCCGAGGAGCTTCTGCAGCTACCAATACAATACATGCGATCAGTCTCCACAAAATGACATTTATATGCGATTAGCCACGCCTACCTGAATCATCATGTTTCATTCAAGATTTTGGAGCGAAAGCACTGTTGCAACTTCTTACTTCAGGTTGAAGTCCTTTCCATGGCGGCTGAGATTTGAAGCATCCAAAGAGCTTCTGCAGCTGCTAATATGCATCTTTTTGCCTCTGTTTATTAGCCAAGTCTACCTGTGGAGTGAAAGCAGTGTAACTTTTTAGTTCAGGTTGAAATCCCTCGCATGGTAGTGAACAATCCATATGTTCAGTCTTTACAACATGGCATTTATATCCATGTCTTATTAGCCAAGCCTACCTGAGTCATGATGCTTGCTTCGTTCGAGATTGTGGAGAGAAAGCACTGCAACTCGTGAGTTCATGTTGACGTCCTTTCCATGGCAGCTGGGACTCGAAGCAACCACGGAGCCTCTGCAGCTGTCGATACAATACATGTGTTCAGTCTTCACAAAATCACACTTGGTGCCTGTCATGATGCTTCTTCATTCGAGATCGTGGAATGAAAGCTCTGCAACTTGTTCATTCAAGACACAAGAGATTTGATCGATACCGTCAGAGGATTTGAAGGAACAGAGACACAAACAAGAAGACTTTGGGCCGGCCAAAGTGCAGCTGAAGAAAGAGGCCACAACAACAAGAACATGGAAACTCACTGTGGCTTTTTCACAAGCACCTGTCACCTCAAAAGACTTCACAAGTTCATGTGCTGCCTTCCTGCCTGCCTCCACATGGTTTTGGAAATGGGATTTGTAGTAAGACTTTGGGATTTCTGGCAATGGTAGCTCTACCGACAACAGTGTGAGCTCTAAATAGATTTTGGTCAAAGTAATTTTAGGGCTTTGTTGGTCAACGAGAAAGTAGTTGTGGGACATCAACAGAAAAGAACACTGTGGCATGTATTCAATTCATTCAACTCAACTTAAAACAAAATAAAATAATACAAAAAACGAAAAATACAGGTGTCAATGGGTCAAAGGTGCGTTACTTGGAAAACAAATACTATTAAAATATATATTTTATGTTGGGTGAAAAATTAAGATATTCAATATTCAATTTAAAAATTAATAAAATAAATAAATATAAAATTTAATATATTAAAATCTATAAAGGGATATTTGTCCAAGAGACATGTCTTTTCATATACAAGTATTAACAAAATATTCTTAAATAATTTTAAAAATAAATCCAATATTTTTGTTCTCTTCGATAAATTGAAACATAACATGTTTATCATTTATTTATTGATTCTACTAAACACTTTTTTCTTGAATGTAACGTGGTCTTGTTCATGCTTCATGTAGTGCATATAATATTAGCACCTAAAGTATTATGCTAATGCTCGATAAAATATACAAAAATCACATCATGTAATGGCATATCATATATTATGACAAAAAAAAATACAATGTGATGTATTAGTAATATCATTTTTATGTAATTGACACCTAAACAAAAAATTAAAATGCGAAAAATAAATATAGCTTAGGAGTGTCATATAATATACAAATCTTTTTTATTGTAGAACAATAATGATCTGGACCAGTCGCCTTAATATGTTAGATAAAAGATTGGAGAAATTTCTGGATATCTGTGTTTTATATTTATTTCTCAAAATTTTGATTTAATGTATATTCCATATACATATATTTAAATATATATTTTAAAAAAATAATATATATTTATTTATTTTTGTAAAGATTAAGTGACAAAAATGATATTCGAGCTCAAAACCTTAAGATACATTATTAAAATTCTTACTATCTAAATTAGCTGACACATTAGATCAAATTTATATTACTGATAATAAGAGTAAGAATATATCAACCGGACAATTGAAGTGTTTCCTGCCACTACTTGGTGGAACATCTGATGAAGCACTTGCAAATTGAACAAAAAGGTCAATAGCAATATTAATTGATTCTTATCACGATATTAAATGGTGGGATAATGTTCTCAACACAATCTAATCTTATCATATATGTCAAAGAACATTACCTTTGGCACAAGTTGGATCTCCGAGCACTCATTTGCTATTTCTACTCTCTCTCTCTTTCTTATCTCTTCCTTTTACGTTTGGTCATATGTTTAATTAATTGTGTGTGCGTGTGTGTTGTGTTTCTTTCTTTTGGACATTTCCTTAATCTTTCATCTGATATATGTTGTAGAAAGTGCTCCTGAATTAAAATCTGATGGATCAGCTAAACTACAAGAAGAGGTGAAGGAAATATTACTTTATATATATATATAAGAGCAATAATGGAAAATGCTCGAGCAATTAGTTCCTATTAGTCTACACAAAAGACAATTAGCAGCATCTTTGAGGGGATAAGATTTATTATAAATGCAAAAGCACATAATTTAGTTAATGATTGTGTGATTAAATTAGGCATAAAATAGTAGGACATTCAAGACATCAAGGTATTTAGATTCTTACATGCTAAATTATTCTTAAATATGCACAATAATTATCTTTTATTATATTTTTTTATTTGAAAATTTTGATGTTTAATTTCTTTTACGACGATGTAAAATCTCGATTTAACATGATTCGATTGACTCAAAAGGATTTGATGATTATATTATCATTAATTTTAGATCAGGGTTCAGTCTAATTTATTTATTGATCTTAAGATTTCTAACTTCTATCCTATCTTTTCTTATAGATAGGTAATACTTGGGTGTGGTTGATGCATGAATAGATTGATATCTGATTTGAATGGACTTTGTCATAAGTATATTGTTTATCTAACCAACATGACTTTTATTGGCTTATAGTCAAAGCATTTGATAATATAAATCTTCTTCTTCTTCTTCTTCCACAGGTCTATTTTCTATCACCATCACATTGGATGCAATGTACGCATTGTACCCAATTTGTCCTTTTACCTCTCCTTCTGTCCTCCCTTTAGCTCATTCATCTTTCCATATTTAATTACTATAATCATTTAGTAATAAAATCAAACATAAGAATCTATAAGATTTCACTTGATAAATGAAAATTGGGTTAAACTGTCAATCTCATTAATAGCTAAAAAGATCTCACTTGAGAGAATTGAGCATTAGCAGTGGTCATAAGATATCACAAATCTATAAGAGAATTCATGAGTCTTGGAAAATTCAAATAAATCTCAATATTGGTAAGATTTATTCTTACAAATCTCATTAAAAATATTTCTTACATGTAAATCAGAATAATTCAGAATTAATCATTTTGCTATTTGTGACTCTGAAGGACTGATGATGTCAGAAAAAGAGGAAAAAAGAGCACATAATTTTCCATACATTATAAATCATTCAAATTATTAACTAAAGAAAATAGAAGTATATATATATATATATATATATATATATATATATATATATATATATACATGTCCCTTTAAATATTAAGATCTTTCACAATTAACCATGACCTAGTTATAAGTAATATTAACTAATTTTAATTAAAAATAACTTAAATATATAGAATACTCTTAATATATTCTAACTATAGTTGGGTGTCATAAGCTTTTATTTTAATGCAAAGGGTATGTGATAAACCCTTGTACAAAGACTTTTAACAACTAAGTTAATTAACAACTTCAAGGAATTTATGGAATCAAGTTTTAAAAATTAGTAGAGGTAAGTAGATCAAATATATCATCACAAACTAACATGTTAGGTATAAAAATTAATCAAATAAGATTTTGAAATCTCATAATTTAATAAGTCACATTGATAAATCATCATCAATTCAATATTTTAGGTGTCATATTATAATTAGATCAATGTTTTAAGGGGTATTTTATATATATATATATGTATATAACTTAAATATAGAGGGAGGATAAGTGTAATTTTGCCAAAAATAAAGGTTCACAAATTGGATGGTTGGGCCATATGAGGCCCAATAAAAACTGGGATTAAGCTGGACAACACCAGCTGTAGTGCACTGTAATTGATGATGTGATCCCATAAAAGAAAAAGGGTGAAGAAAACAAAAGCAAGAACAAGAATCCAAGCTGACCAACCCAACCCCCCCACTGCTCCCTTTTAGTCCCAAAAGAAGCAATTGCCAACCTAGTAATGGAGCCCAAGCCAAGATCAAACAGCATGTTTGGAGTTAGTTGGCGAAGGTGTTTGTTCCTCATCAATGAAACAGAGCTGTTACTTTCTTCCTCCTTTACTCCCTCCCTTCCTTGTTTTGCCAGCAGAACAACCCACAGCTCTTCACACACACACGCACCCCACATTCTTCTCCTCCTCCTCTTCTTACTGTTGCGGTTGAAGAGATGGAGCCGGAAATCTTCATCTGCTTCTTCTTCTTCTTCTTCTTCTTCTTCTTCTTCATTGCTGCTTTTTACTGCTGCCATTGTATGATTAATATGGCAAAGGATAAAAATGAAAAGAAATGTGTGCACAGAAGAACCCTCCAACTTGCAGTACCTGACAACCCCCTCTCATTGCTTTACAGCCCATAAAACAGACATCCTTTTCTCTCCTCCTCCCTCTCTCTCTCTCTCTCTCTCTCTCTCTCTCTGCCCCTCTGCGGAACCATTCTGTTCTCTCTCATCTGTTAATGATCATCGCTTCCTTGGAGTTCGTCCCTGACATCGATCTTTTTGGGCATTTCCTCTGAAAAGTTGCTGCCTTTTTGCCTTTCGAGCAGGAAATTTGTTTGCTTGATCTGAATTTGGCTGGGCTTGTTGAGGAAGGAAAGAAAGGGTGATGAGGAGGAGGAAGAACAAAAGTAGCATTCACCTGTTAATGTCGATCAGCGTATTCGAGTTCGTCCCTTTCATTGGCCGATTCGGGCATTTCCTTTGAAAAGCTGCTGTCTTTAAGCCTTCGGAGGAAGAAAGGAGCCTCCTTTCCCTTTTTTTTCAATTTGAATCTGGTTGCACTCGTTGGAGAAGGAAAGAAGACAAGTTGAAGAGGTGGAGGAAGAAGAAGAACAAGTAAACAGTAAGAAACAGAGACTTACATCCAGTTGGTGATGGAGGTTGGTGCTGCATCGCTGTCTGCCGGCTATATTACTATTGGTTCGATGATTGCGAGCAGAAGTTTAAATTAAATTATTGGGGGAGATTCAAGTACGGTGGGGATGCGTTATCAGAGGTAAGGATTGGGCGGTGACAGCTTTTGGAGTTGAGCCTCGTTGAAGCTTCCTAAATTTGACCAATTGAGTGTGCATGTGGTGGGGTTTTGTTCGACGTACTTATTGAGGAGATTCGTCGGCGCCCGGTTTGGTTCTGCCGCCAATGCTGATGAAGGCCTTTTGCTGCGGTGTACGCGGAGGATACCATTTGATCGCAATGGTTTGCAAATGAGGCAACATTATTGCAAGCTGCAGCCATCATTTTTGAAAGGATTTCAGGTATAAACTCGCAACTCCAGTGGCTTGCGAGTCCAATCTTGAGTTTCATGTTGATTCTGCTCTGATTTCAGTTTTGGACCTTGGGTTATCAATTTGGAGAATCAGATCTTTCTTGATTCTCTACTCTTTCTACCAAGAATGCTTCTACTGAATCTGAACATGTATATTCACCAATCTCGATGTAGTCAGAAAGTCCCGACGATTATTTGCCTCGGTTAAATGCTTGCATTTATAAGTGTCTACCATGGAATCTTCAGGTGCTTTCAAACTGTATTGATTCCATCTGGTTGGTGGTTGCATGTCTACTCCTAGTTCTTGTGTATTTGAGATTCTATCATATCATCATCCTTTGGTGATTTGGTCTTGAATAATTTCAGTGTCGATCATCTGATGATGGTGGTGGTATATTCTTCCATATATGATTCTGAGATGTTGACAATAGAACAAATTTTGCTTATAGTGGTACTGCTGGAATAATTTTATTCTGTATTTGCATGCCATTAGTTGGGTAACAGCACTGTGTACTACAAAATTGAAATGATAACCTGTCTTATGCTAAAATGATTAACCATATTTTCTTTTAAGAAACTACCCAAGTTCATAGCCGAAGCAACCATGAAGCAATTTGCAACATGAGGATTCGTAAAAACAATTATATGCTAATTTAAGTTTTCTTGCGTTACTAACAATTATTTACTACATAAATACATATCAATTGTTTTCCTTTAGATTATCAAAAATATGATGAGTGTCACTGGTAGCTAATTTCCATGTATTATAAGGGATTCCTGTTTTGTCATTTAATTTAATCAAGTAAAACTATGGTTCTTATTCTTCGCTCTTTTCGGTGCCAATTTTAACGTAGAATAATGTGTCACATTATAGGTTAAATGCCAAGAGAGGTTGATTCTGAGAGCTTTTTTCCTCTGCCTTGAAGTATATTCCCATACCAGATGTCAGGGACTCTTGCAGCAGCTCTAGGAGGTGCTGCAGGAGCCGTGGCATTGGTAGGGACAACAATTATCATCATCCGTTATTGCCTCTTTCGCAATAGGAGCATCTCAAGATCAGAGACAAATTCATCTGACCCATCTCTACAAGGTGACCGCCGTTTTTCTTCAATTCTATCCATTTTGACAACCTTGCTCTACAAAATGTCACTGGTCTCACATATCACCTTCTTGAACTTTTCAGTGGGACAGACTGTTGAGCCGTCCTTGGGTGGAGGTGTCTCATATGCACCAGAATTTCAAGGAGCACGATGCTTTACACTCGAGGAGTTGAATGTAGCAACAAAGAATTTCAGCAATATCAATCTGATTGGGTACGGAACGTTTGGAGAAGTGAGCAAGGGTTTGCTTCATGATGGTATGGTTGTGGCTATTAAAAGAAGGTCATGTCCTCGAAGTCAAGAATTTATTGAAGAGGTAGATATTTGCCATAATGAACAGACTTATAGATGCTTGCATGAAACTATGTTGCACTATAGCATGATATTGGAGTAGTGTATCCCACTACGACTTGGCTAAACATGATTTAAATGTAGCATAAGCCACTTGGACTTGGCTGAAAGTGATTTAACTTGGTCCTTCACATTTCTAATAACTCTGTTATCTCCATACATTCATGTTGTCGGCTATGCTTATAAACAGTCATTATTAGCATATATGATTAACATTATTAAATATCTGAGAAGGTGCTGCATGAGCTGTCTGCATTTCATGACCATGGAAAAAGTAACATAAACAACATTCCTTACAGCATTCGCTTCTGTAAATAAAGTTCTAGGCACAGCATCGCTGATGTGTAATTTGACAATGCTGTGTAGGTTCGCTATGTATCTTCAATTCGCCACCGGAACCTTGTAAGCCTTTTGGGTTACTGCCAGGAGGATCACATACAGATGCTTATCTATGAGTATATACCAAATGGCAGTGTTTCAACTCACTTATATGGTAATTTTTTGTTGTTGTATGGCTACATTTGTGGGTTCAACATAAGAGTTGTAATTTTTAGTTTTCTTATGCAGGTGCAATTCAAGCATCAAGTGTGAAGTTAGAATTCAAGCATAGACTTTCCATAGCCCATGGGGCAGCTAAAGGTGATCATTTTGCAAAATCAATTAAGACTAGTGTTTGTCCTCATCATGTTAATTCCTAATGAGAGATCCACTTTATTTACTTGAGAATTTCTTTTTGTGTTTTCTTATGGTTGTCTTGTAGAAACATAACTTGGTCCGGTTTATCTTATTTCAAATAATTCTTCTGTTATTTTCTCTGTCTGGTGCTCTACATTAACAACATCAATCTTGAATGTTTATCTTGATTAGGTATGGTTCATCTGCATTCCCTGAATCCTCCTCTGGTGCACATGAACTTCAAGACAAGAAATGTTCTTGTAGATGGAGACTTGACACCCAAAGTTGGAGATGCTGGTATCCACAGCTTACTTGATCGAATTGATGGTGCTGCTTCCTCTTCGAGAATCACTGAAGATGATCCCTTCCTTGACCCTGAGTATTCTTCAAACTTCAGGATTTCTTTAGAAACGATCTTTATGGCACAGATAGAAAACATTCAAGTTTCAAATATATCCAATGATGTTTTCTTGTTTAGTTAAAAATTGTCTGTACATAAGGTTTCACTGTTGAACAGGCCTAAAAATTTGCATCATTTAGTTGTTGTTTTAATTCCTTATCCTTGCTACTTGCACAGTGTCAAGGAGTCTGGAACATTATCTATAAAGAGCGATGTATATAGTTTTGGGGTGTTTCTTCTGGAGTTAGTGACCGGAAGGGAAGCAAGATCTGATAGAAGCATTATCCAGCAGGTATGTAGCAATTACTTGTAATTTCTTGTAGGAAATAGTTATCTCAGTAGTGAATGGCCATACTTGTGTTATTAAGCCTAAACCTGTAAAATATTGAAATGCTATTTCTTTCTGTTTGCAAATCCATTGCTTTTCTTGGATTGATGCTTGGTCATATACTCAAAGTTGGTTTAATGAGTTTCTATATTTGGACAACCTAGTAACTATTGGAGTAGTTCATGTAATCATATAATTCCCTTGTAAATATTTCATGATTTTCCATTACCTAGGGAGCCATTGCATGTTTTTATATCATCTTTTAACCACAACAAATTTTGATTTTGCTATTTTTATTTGCTAAGTACTTAATAATCAGAAACCATCAAAGATTGTTCTTTTCTTTTCATGTAATATAAATATCTTTAACTATATGTAGAATATTGGTCTATCATGTTGCATGATCAGCGCAAACTAAAGGGAGAACTGAAAAAACAGGAGTTCAATACTTATATCGAGAAAAAGCACAAATGTTTAGTTAATGTATACTCTAAATAAAGAAAAAGCCAAATGTTTTTCTTTTGGAATTTAACAAAACTGTAACTTATCTGGTAAATTAAATCTCTCTTTGCAAGCTAAAATATTCACCTTTATGAGAAAGGTAACTGAAGAATATAATGAGCTTGGACAACACAAGCCCCAGGCTCAAGAGTCATGGAAAGAATTAAGAAAAATCACACACTGGGTTGTGCATTTGATGCTTTTTTTTCTAAGAACAGGATGAGCAATATTTCTTCAATTTTACAATTTACATGTTCTCCAATGTGGGCTGTTCTTCTATGTGGTAAGAAGATCTAGGCAACTTTAGAGAGGGCCAAATAAGGTTATTCGATGGAAAAGTGCAAACTGAAAATGTTTATCAATAACCTCTCTCTGTTTGATGATAACAAGTAGTTGATGATGTGAAAAATGAGTAAAAGGAAAAGGACACGGTTCCCCCTATATAATTCCCCCTACAGAAAGATATTATGGCTTAAGACCCCTTTTCTGGTGGTACCAATGTGGACCATTGTTGCCATTACCAGGTACCAATTATATAACTGTGATGTTTTTAAACATTCAAATCATAATAAATCAATCCCAAGCCCTAAAAAAAATTAAATATCTGATCTTGAAACACTTTTTAAGTAAAATTTGACATACTCAATTATTCATTCATCTATTTTTTTATTTTAATGTGTCATGTCATTTAAATCAGTAGTAGCAACACAGTGTTTTATCAATAAGCAGGATATAGACAGTCTATTATAAGGTAGACTCATGGATGTAAATACAATAAATTCAAATTGAGTCCACTTGCCCTAAATTCATGCTATAATGTTAAGCTTTACATTACAAGGTATACAGAGAGAGTCTGTCAGGCAGTAATGTTCAAATACATCACTCATACTTTAACTAATTTGCTTGTTCTTCATTGGAAGAGATTCGAGATTAAGTTAAGGTACTCAGGAAATGGAGATGCAAATTGTCAAATGTGCAACAAAACTCTCGTGTTGTTTTTCTGGGTCTGCTCGAGGCACAGTTGGTTTTCTTTGTGCCTTCATATTTCAGGATTCACTTTTATGAGCAAAAGAATCCTTATAAATAGTCAGAATCTTGTTTAGCAAGTCAAAATGACCCAGAAACCCAATAATGTATCTTGTAATTGCATTGCACCCATGTTGGATTATCGCTTTTTCACATAGGTACCATCAGCTTGAGATATAATATCTGAAAACTATAGCCGTCAATTGAATTCGCATATCCATTTTAAACATCTATATTCTTGTATATTTGAACCATCCTTTGGGCTTTGGTAATGTTTGTTAATTGTTGAGGTTTTTCTATTGATCTAACAATGTTTTTGGGCTGCTCATCCTAAGGCACAGAACTATCATGAGGCAGTGGATCTTTCAACCCTTGTTGATAACAGGATGGGTAGCAGTTTCACCTCGGAAGGAATTTGGGATCTGTTGCAGCTAATTTCGTGGTGTCTGAACTCATCAAGCGAGGAGCGCCCACCCATGAAGTTCGTCGAGTTGGAGCTGCACCGGATACATGAGAGAGAAATGAGCTTGACTACCATCATGGGTGAAGGAACAACTACTGTCACCCTCGGAAGTCAGTTATTCACTACTTCGTAACCGAAGCAACCCGTATCGCATCAACTGTACATCAGCTCATTTAGCATGCTTTTAAAACCATCATTTGCAAGTTGTGTATAACCGTAGAACTGTGTATTCTTTCAAACAAAATTTTCTTCACGATAAATATTTGTACAAAAAGATGTTATGCTGATGTGTTATATTATCAATGCGATTGAGCTTGGAGTAATTAAGAAATAAAATGCAGACGTGTTTTGGAGTTCCTGCTGTAGTAATGCTTGGTGTGGCATATAACCTACTCGAGCTTTTTTCCTTGCAGTGCAGGAAAGCCTTTGCTCCCAAACAGGTGCAGATTGTTTGTGAGTAAAAAGGTGACCGATGAATGTATGATCTGTTCATGGATTTTTGTAGTACTCGTTTTTGTTCACAGTAATAGTTTTCATCATCTCTTACATACTTGGAATGGATCTCAAATTTGCTCATTTCAATCATGGCATATGGGAGGTAAACAATGGGTAAATATATAATTTATGTAGTTCATCGTATTCAAGAAATCTTCTATGATATTTCTAGTTCCAAAGTGTGATACAAAAATGCTCAAGTCTCAACCATTACAGTGATGTACATCTCTGGCCTTTCAACAGAAGATTAATTAACTTAATGACACCTCTTTTTCTTACAGAAAATTAGGGTGTCTAATTGCATATTACTAATACTGATCATTACTCCCAAGTTCAAAGTGATATACAATTAAGTCACTAATAAGGTAACACAATAAGAATATTCTACAAAAAAATTTCAAAATAACAAGTACAGCTTCAACAAATCAGATAAGTAGCTCTGAAATTTGTATGGAGATCAAAATGACATTAAAATACCGTTCATCGACAACACACTGTCCCAACTTTGTAGACCAGTATTTTGTTATAACTTATTAAAGCTTCAAAGGAATCGAACCCTCCATCACAAAATGGAACTATGCATAACCAACACCATAAAAACTGGTAGGCAGAAGATTCATGTCATAGAACATTAATACAAGTGTGCATAGATAAGAACAATGACTCAGCCAATGAGCAGCTTGTTTTCGTCCAAGAAGCTATACTGCGGCACCTCCAGGTTAAATGGAGCAGGGCCCTTGCGGATCCTACCAGAAATATCATAGTGCGAACCATGGCAAGGGCAGAACCAGCCACCAAAATCTCCGGCATTGGGTAAAGGGATGCAGCCCAGATGAGTACACACACCAACCACAACAAGCCACTCGGGGTTCTTCACCCTATCTGAATCTGCCTGGGGATCTCGAAGAGATAAAACATTGACACTGTTTGCCAGATTGATATCATCCTCTGTTCGTCGTCTTATGAAAACTGGCTTCCCACGCCACTTTACAGTTACTGTGGACCCTGGCTCTATGCTGGAGAGATCAACTTCCAAAGAAGCCAGAGCAAGGACATCTTTGCTAGCAGACATGCTCAACACGAACTTAAGAATCAGGAGACGAAGCAAAGAGGCATAAACAAATCTTCCACCGGTCAAGACAAAGTATGCAAACGCTCGCTTGCTTGGGTCACCTGGGGGGTGACGCTCATGGTTGTGTTCATCATAGACAATCTTTGAGGTCGGATTCTTAATGGCAGCCACTGTTGCAGGCAGATCAGCTAAACCCAAGTCCGCATATCCAGGGACAAGCTTTTCAGATGCATATCCTTCACATGTTTTACAATAGCAAATCAATTGAGCATAAGGAAATTCAGCTAATAAAGCGCATAACTTATGGATCAAAAGCGATATTAAAAGATTTCAGATGTCAATGATATATCACTAAACCAGAAAAATCAATAATAATAACCAATTCCATTTACAATGGGAAAAACATGAAGCAATATTCTTCAAGATATGATGAAAATAAATATAATCAGTAACCTAATATTCTTGTCAAAGTAGCACTAGAAACCACCCACAGCGAAACATTTCTAAATTCAAATTTAAATAAAAAATTGTCACATTCAATTAATACAAACAACTTAGTCACCAAAATTAAAAATAAAAACGGGGTATCATCTCTAACCAAGACTTTTGTCTTAATCTACATCAACAAACAGAAAAAGTTTGCATATTCCATCTAAGACCAAAAACAATCAACTTATAAGTAAAAATATATAGACATCAAACAGCCATAAAAACAAACCCATGCATATTGCATACTACTAATTATTAAGGGCCTAAAATGTAGAACAGCACTGTGTCAATATTTTTTTTGTTAAAGGTTAGTTCCATTAGTCCCATAATTGCTTTTCAACAACAACCATACTCTCATCAACAGAACTTAATACTGGTAATGTCCTCAATCTTATAAAAGAGCTGCTTTAAATCCTGAGCTTTATCAATAAAATCTTGTTATTCCTTTCTAACCAGATGAAAGAAACTGTAGCAGCAAATGCAACTCTTCTAATATCCATTATAAAGTATTCCTCAAAGCAATAATCTGCAAACCACTGAAGCTCCTGGTTAAAATACATAAAAGTTCTTTCAATTATATGTTCCAACATTATCTCCCATGACTGCTAATTAATTTGCATTTTAAAAAAAATGAGATGCATTCTGAGGATTTTCATGACAGAAAGCACATTGTGAACGATGTAGAACTCCCATTTTAACTAATCTATCTTGACACGGCAATCTTTGTCCCACAACAAACTAAATATAAAAAAGCATATTTTACAGACCAAATAACTTTGCTCCATCTAACCTTCCATTCTTTTTCTCTATAGCATCCAAGCACTGTTAATACTGAAACCTATTTGTTTGCTTGGTAACCAGATAGGCACATCAACTTCACTAGTCATATACTGTGTAGTCTAATCTCATTCCACACCTTTTCCACTTCAGCATAATTTCAGATGCTAAGATCTATCTTTCACTGACTGAAACAAAACTGTAGCTTAGGCATCCACATCAGCTTCCATTATAATTTGTTCGGTGAATCTTAAAACAATTGAGCCTTTCTTTAGCCAATCATAATACCAGAACATAGTCTTTTTGTAATTTCCAACTTCCATTCTAGATCATGTCCAAGCATCAGCTCTTAGCTTAAGCTTTTCTTGCCAGGTCTCAGGCTCCATATGCTTGTATCTATATTTTGATTTAATAGATCCATTTGATCCATAACGAATCCACTCTACAAAACAGCAGCCATAAATGTTTCATCATGGCATCTTTATTTCACTCAAACATGTCCTTCAGGCCTAAACCTCCACAAATTGCATTTCACTTCACCAGCCCTTTCTTTTTTTGTTGATTCACCTCCACACTATAAGAACTGTTGACATTTCTTTTACACTTCTTTTATTATGGCTTTATGTAATATAAAATTTTGAGTTTTAATTGCACACTGAAAATAAAAAAACTGGTTTTGCCTGGCCTATAAGAACCGGCTGATATTTACCTCAAACCAAGTCCTTCAATTGGTGGATGATTAAAGGTTAAGAGTTTTCTCCATTTAGTTTCTGCTTGGTTGCTTCTTGATTAGGATATGGAGGTATACAACACAAGAATACATACCTATTTCAAGCACATGAATTACAGACAAGATATTGAAGCAATGTCTTAAAGAAAAAACAAATCTAAAATTCAGCCTCTGAGGTAGTTAATGAATAATAGTTCCATTGGTCGTAAATCTAGTAGTACATGAAGCATATCATTCAGTATCAAAAATCACATTACATGATATAAAGTAATAAGTCAGGATGGCTGAGTTGTCAAAGGCATCAGATTCAACCTCTTGTCCTCGTGAGTGGATGTGGGTTCAAATCTTATTTCTGAAAATAAAATATGTATACCTTTAAAGAGCGAACCTTGGTTCCACAATGCAAATGACCAAGATTCAGAGTCATGAAAATAATCTCACTACTTGCAGGGATCAACCCATGTAAATTAACTTTGCCTAATCCACTATGGTACAGAATCTGAGCATCTATGCCCTTCCCAGAATCCCAGTCATCATTTACGACTATAAACCTTTATCATATATGCCTCTTCTAGTATTTAAAGCTTTTACAAGATTGGCTAAGGGAACTTATAATACAAAACAAAGAATTTTAGGTATTAAAATCTAAATCCACTTGCAAACCAACGAGAAAAAAAAAAGAATATGGATCTAAGCAATTAGAAAAAACAAAGCTATCCAATATCCGCTCAGGGAATATAAACTACAAAACGCGAAATTTTAGACATTCGAATCTGGATCGGTTTGCAAGCCACAACCCCAACGATAAATTACTAATCTCAAACATTTATAAAAATCTATGGGACGCAGCAGGAATTAATTTAATACGGCCGAACTTTAAAAGGGAGGAATAAGGATAAAATAACGAAAAGAACGACCCTTCTCCATTCCGGATCAGTAACTAGTAACCATGATATAACCCCCCAACGAATAGATTGAGGAAAGAAAAGGACAAAGCGCCAACCTCTGACGGCGGCAAGGAGAGGCGACTGAAAGGCGAATCGGGCGCGTGGAGCAGAGATCTGCCAGGAGTCGTCAGCGGATGAGTCCCCAAAGCCATGGACGGGATTCCGCGAGGATACGACCGAGGCGGTTGGAGTCTGCCACCGTGACAGCGCACCGATCCTTCTTCCCGCGACCCTCAGCATGGCTTCCTCCAACGGTGATTTCTAGGGTTTCGGTCGCCTCTCGGAAAGGGCTCGGAAGAAAAAGACACGGACGCAAAGAGGAGTGCAAAACGGTACGTGGGGAGAGCAACTTTATATATATATATATGCCGGTGCTTCGTGGAGCGTTACACTCTTGCAGAACGAACCGATATAATATAATCAAACCGGAACCGGTATATACGTTATATAGCGGTCTTCCAACCAAATAAATATACCATATTTTTATAGAACTCATATTTAAAGACCCTATAAATTTTTTTCTTGGAAATTAAAAAACTAAAGTGAATAAAAAGGAAAATTTACATGAGAAAAAAAAGATAAAAGTGGGGGCTTCAATTTCTTTTATTGGGATATAAACATTTGAATACTTGAAAAATGAGTTATCATAGTTTTTTAATTTACTCCTTGCATTCAAATATTATATTATAATATAGGAAGATTAGATCCTTACAGTAGAGATGTGTATTGCGCTCTAACCATTCTGATGTGATCACAGAGAGGAGTTGCCACCCACATATAATTTAGCAATATTGTTTTGTTATGACTAACCTCTAATGAACCCTTGACAAGCATTGGAAACTAGAGAAAGAGCTATGGATATGAACAAATAATATAGTGTGGCTAAATCATCATATTTACTTGTTTTCAGTAAATACATAATCAAATAGAATTATAGGCATAATTAATCAATTCTAGATATAAATCTAGCAGAGTTCACAACATCAGTTTCAATGGAAGAAACAGCCAATAGTTTTCATCCTTACACATGAAAACTGGAAATTTTCCATATATAAATATTTACAACTAGGATTTGTATCAAACAATATGAAAACCAGGGTTTTCTTTTGGAATATATTTGATTTAATTCAAGTAAACATTAGGAGTTAAGTAATCGAATAATCTATTGGATGCAATAAGTGACTACATGCCTTTTCACAATTCATCAGAGTCAACAACTCCCTCATTTTGGACTGCAATTAGTTGGAGAGTTGGGTCTTCACACCCAGAGAATGATTCAAGCATGCTTTCTACCCATATAATCCGAATAGGAACAAAGAGCTCTACTGATCTCATTGGTTGCACCTAATTCTTTTGTCCAATGTTTGAAGAATCCAAACTTATTAGATAACATTGTTTTGAAACCTTTAAATAAGATGTGTTCAAATATTTAATGACATCAAATTTTGAAGTGAAATGAAGCCAGCAAATAGAAAGTAGAGTAGCTTTGAACAGTCTAACCAAATATCTCACTCGAAAATCCAATTAGTTCGCCAAGAAATTTGTGTAAAAGTGTGGACTTTTTTGTTTTTTTGTTGCTTATACTTTGGTCACAACCATGAAACATTGAACTATAATTTTTTAAATCACAATCCATTTAGATTATGTTGTTACGATCTCTTCCACGTGTCATCGTATTTAACTAAAACATATTTCAAGTAATGAATCATGAAAATAATGTATTGCACATGAATTTAAATAGAAAAATATCAATTAGTTTAACTAAAATAGACATTGACAATTTATCATAAGTGCTGCGCTCGAATTCCATCTTTATTACTTACAAAACAAAAACCTAAAGCAACACTATTTAATTCATTTAGGAGTAGTATAATTCTTACTCTTACTGTTTTTTTCTTTAAATATGTTTTTTTTCTTTTCTTGTTTCATTAAAATAGCTAGTCATATCATTCGTATGAGTATGATATTTTTTTATCATGCTCATATGAGAGATATTATTGGTTGAATATTATGATAAAAATCTTAGATGTGATTTGTAGAATGTACTTTTTGTTTGATCGAAGCAACACCGATCTATAAAAATAACTAGGCTCACATTTTCTTTTCTTCCTATCATTTATAGGATTAGTATGAGTGATGAAATAAAAACTAAAAGGATACAAGAATAGATTAGTATTCTCATCTCATATTGTATTGTATTTTATTATATTAAGTTTCTAGGAGGTCTTGTCTATTTATAGACAAGTATAAAGAGTCTAGAATAAATAATTAGAAGAGTGTCTTTGATCAAGATCATATTTTAAAGAATCATATCATAAATGAACTAAAATATATCTTATCTAATTAAATAGGGTCAAATAATTACCACTTGATCCATTAATTAATAAAATATAAAAATTAAAATGTATAATAAAGAAAATAAAAAATTATTTAAAAATAAATTTACCTAAATAGATTCTAAAACTTTTAAAAAGTATTTTATACATGATCATAAATTTTAAAACAAGTTAATAAGTCCAATAAGTACAATAATATTTTATTAAATTTGACTTTCAATGCAAATCATAATAATTATATGTTATCAATGTCATACTCTCTTCTATATACCATGACACTATTAATCTTTTATCAACAATGACCTTTGTAATTATTTTAAATATGATAACATATATATATATATATATATATATATATATATATAAATATATATTAACATATCTTTTATTAGTTGCTCAGAAACCTTATTTTAAAAATATTTTTTTTAACACTTTAAGTTGTATAGCTTTAATATATTGATCATCAATTATTAAAGTGGTGCTTAGATTATCAATTGGCTTTTATTATTTTTGGACTCTTTATCTAACCACTAATTACTTTGTCTCAATATGTTGGAACCAATAAGGAACTTATCTTTTTTAGAGAATAAAACTATCATAGTATTATCATACAATTGAGTTGATTATACCAAGTCGTGAGATAAAATTTCACAACTATAAAACTTGATATTTTGATCTCAAAGTACGCCATAAATTTAGTTTTAATTATTAATGATACAAAAAATGATTACTTTGTACTTCTTCAAGAAATTATCGCTTCAGCTAATATGAATATGAATCATGAAGGAGACTTTATACTGTTAAGACAATCTATAAAATCAGCATTTGAATATCACATCACTTCTGATCTAATCTCTTATATATGGGCATGTAGTTTTTCATCCCCTATTGATATCTCAATCACTTTTTTTTTCATTTTTGGGTTGATTCGATATATATCTAATATTCTAATTACAAAACTAATATATGATATCATATATATTTGAGTATATAATAGATTTTCAACATATAAGTATAAGGAATATCATTCATTTGATTATTTTCTAAGTCATTCCTAAGGCATCAACTTCAATTGAAAATTTTACCTCTGATAATAGGTGTCTTATAAGTTGAACAAAATTGATCTTTAAGACTTTATAATATACCCTTTCTAAGATAGTCCTAGCATTCCTTAAGATCTATCCCTGAATATCTCAATAGTAATAACATGAGCTACCTTATTTATATCAACCACTTTAAAATTTTTTGATGAAAAATATCTTGATTTTATGTAATAAATAAATATTATTATTGGTAATCAAAATATCATTCATATATAAAACCAATATAATATACTTGCCCCCACTAACATTTAGATATATACACTGATTAATAATTTTTTTCTTAAATCTAGAAAAGTAATGATGTCATGAAGTTTCATGTATTGAAACTTGTTTAAGACTATAAATGAATTTCTTAAGTTTACAAGCCCAACTTTTCTTTTCATTATCTATGAATCATTTAGGTTATTCCATGTATATTTTCTCATCTAGATCCCTTTTAAAAAATATTATTTTTATATCTATTTAATATAACTTAAGTTCATAACTAGCTTCTAATACTATGATGATCCTCAATGTATCCTTTTTTTAAATTTTTAAAAATATTTCAATATAGTGGATGCTTTTTTTAAAGAAAAAAATTTAGTAAAAAAGTCTGATTTTATATTATTAGATATTATCTTTCGAGTCACATTGTGTCTTAAAGACTCATTTGCAATCAACAAAAAAGGTTAGGATTCTGACCTGACTTATTATATCTACCATAAAATTTATCACTCTTATTAGTTCTGACAATCTTAATTTTTTTCATCTAATTATCTCTTAATTTTATTTATGTATTCCTCTAGAGTGTCAACAACTTGAAACTTTCTATATATTATAAATAAATAAATAAATATATATATATATATATTCATATCTTAATAGGTCATCTATAAATGTAATGAAATATCTTTCTTTATTGAAATAGCAAATATAAAATAGTACGTAGATATCAGTATAAATAATCTCAAAGAGTTCTTTATTTTTTGTAATATTTTTCTTTATATGGTTAGTTTATTTTCCATCAATGCAATACATATAGAGATTAAAATTAGTAAAATCTAAATCTTCTAAAATATTATTATTTCTTAATTTTATAATTCTTTCCTTGGAGATATATTAGGAAACCTAGATAGAGCATCACATATATAACGGAAGAACAAAAAAAATAAAATCCTAGATTTTTCAAAAAAAAAAAAGTTCTCGTCATCGTGCAAATATTAGTGCATAAAACAAAACGTAAAACCGAAACTATGCGTATCAAGTGAGATTTGTGTTGAATTTCAGATTTTGATGATAAAATTAATTGATGGGTTAATTGATCTAATCCATATTATTGAGTTAAGTGTGCAGGAGTAACTACGATAACCAGAAAACACAAAGCAAGAATACCGGAGTCAAGTTCGATGGACGTTTAAGAGTCTGAAGAATCGTCGGAGATGTTGCCGGAACCAACCGAGAAGAAATCGGGAACCTGTCGGAATTTTCGGAAGTTCGTCGAAGAGATCGTCAGAGGTTCACGGAGAT